ACATGCCTCTGTGAATTCCACCCAGATCTGTATTCACTTCTTTAAAAAACAAAACAAAACAAACAAACAAAAAAAAAAAAAGGGAGACCCAAATGAGTTATGTAGTCTCTAGTTACTAAAAATTAAAGTTCTTCTTTTCTTTTCTTTTTTTTTTTTTTGGCTGACCAGGCATGAGAGCTAATGGATAGTATTAAACAAGATCCATTAAAACAATAACCAAACAACCCTCCCACCCACAACTACTTGTAACATGCTAGTTAAACATCGCTAAACCACCCACCCTCACCAGCATCAACATTAAGGGAAAAGACATTTTAACACCCTAAAAACAAGAAAGCCCCATACATATGAACAGTCTCCCTCTAAAGGAGCCAACTACAGACCGTTTTGCTAGAAACACAAGAACCATCGCAAAGCTGGTTACAAAGTAACCGTGGCGCTGCAGCCACGGGCGCCAACATTCAGCCAGTGTGCTCTGAGATAGCCTTAAGATACGACCTGAGCTCGTAAGTTAATACAATCATTAAAAGGAGGTCTAAGACCATGCGGATACACAAAAACATTTAGAACCATTGCTGGTTGAATGACGATGGAAAACAGCCCACCAGGCTGGATCTGTTAACCCGTAAGACCAGTTCTAAAAAATAGACATTATTGAGGTATTTCTTCACGGTGACACTTATTCATAAACCCAAAACCCAGTTACTCTGGGGGCCTTCAGGATGCTCTCACCCAGGTAGACCAGAAGGTTACCGGGATGTACAGAGGTAGGTTAACAGTACAGCATTTCCTGATAATGTGCTTCTCAAATTTATCAAGTATTTAACAAACAAGGAAAAAAGGGGGGGAGGGGCGCACCACAAATGTCAAAGTGTTGCCTTTGGTAGGAAGAACAAATCAAAACAAAGAGCAGTGTACACGTCACCAGTCACTGTAGAGGGGGCTGCACCAGGCACAGACATCCTGCTGGGTGCAGACAGCTAGCTGCAAATACAATCATGACGTCAGAGATTCTCAATGCCTTCAGACACCTGATGCTCCCCACCAGACCTTCAGGGCTCCCACTGAAAGGGCATGTGTGCAGACACTCCTACCAGATAAAACAGCTTTCTCTTGAAGAGAAGAGAGACCTAAGGCCTTTTTCTAGTCAAGTTCTCCATTAGGCCAGAAGCAGTTCCTAATACTGTATGCAGAATTGGGTTTGTGGCAGACAGAGAAAGCAAGATTGATGGAGAACTACTTGGATGAAGGCCCACACCGACCGAACAGGTCAATGTTCTGGATTGGAAGTCAATTCTGGATCTTTGAAGCAGCCTCCCACGGCTGCCCATCTCCACCGGATTAATACTATATTTTGAGACCCATCAGGTGCCCACATGAGGTAGATGACTTTGCCAAAAGTGAGGTAGAAAATCTAATAAACCAACCAGTGTGGCAAGAGGTGCTGTGTCCTGTGACCCTGGTCCACACGATGACAGAGAAAGCCCTTGAGTGTCAGGAGGTCCAACCTTACCTAATGTGCACAGGTGACAAATGTCACCTTCTTTACAGCCCCAGTCTGTTAGAACCTCAGCAGGAGAGAGATACTCTAAACAAACAATTTTGGCACGTGTGTGTGTGTGTGTGTGTGTGTGTGTGTGTGTGTGTGTGTGTGTACACGTATTTCTTAAACAACAGGGAAATGCCAGCCTAAAAACTTTGGCATACCTTTTACTACCTACCAGAACACAGCAACTCTAGAGTCTTCCAAACACAGAAGACAACATACCAACACTATTGTTCTGCTGCAAGCCTAAGACTCCCCAGCTCAAATAACTAAGCTTTGGCTTAATGGCGGTGATTCGGTGAAGCAGACTGAGCCATCCACCTCAAAGTGCCTTCATCTTGGCAACTTCTTTGGCCCAACACGAAGTCCAGTTCTGTTTAGGGTACCCTTTTATGTTTCCCCAGATAAGTTAGACTTAAAAAGGGTATTGATTGAGGAATTTAGTGCACTTGGGGGGCAGCCCAGACAAGACAACGGGGCTCCAAGCCAACTTTAGGAGTCACCTGCCAGCCACAGTACAGCACAGGTGTGGAGGCGGGCAGGGTGGCTTCAGGAACAAATTTAGAGATGAGTGATGACTTTTAGATTATACTTTTGGAATGTCAGGCAGGTGGCAACCAGGTGTTCAATACTCAAGCTTAGATATATTCACTTCCAATAGGGATCTCCTGATGCCCACGCCCTCCAGCACCCACGCCCTCCAGCTCCTGCCACCTGACCAGGGCAGATCTACATGTGTCTACATCCACTGCCTGCCTGTCTCTCACTGGTGACAAAGCTTCCTTTCACAGCACTCAGGACCTGGTATCTTTCCTGCCGTTCCCATCATCACCTCGGATTGGGCAGCAGGTGTGCACACGAATGCACATGGCAACGTCACACTAGGGTGCACCAGACATGGCTTGTATCATGATATGGAACAGTCCACATTATCACACTTTCCAAAGTGCTTAGCACTGATTCCCCCCAGGCCAGGAGCAATCTCAGGCGGCCGCAAATGGCCACTTGTTTTAAAAACAAAAGTTCTCCAGGTGTGACCACATACGGTCCTTAGAAGCCAGCCATAAACCAATTCTGGATACAGAAAGGTAAAGAGCCACACACCTCTAAGGACACTTTGCTCTAAGCCTTCACTGGCTTATCCACTTACTCTTCAAGACCTGACCATTTCAGCCACAAGGTGGAAACCTGGGCTGAGCAATCAAATCCTAAGTAAATTATCAAGTATTTTTATCTGTCGTAATTCACCAGAAAAATTTCCCACTGAATAGCCAATATTCTTGTCATAGGTAAGCTGTAAAGAGGAACAAAAAGAAAAAAAAAAAAAAAACTAAAATAGCTTTTCCCTGGCCACAATTAAAATCAGATTTCTGAGAATTAGAATCATCTTTACGTAACGCCAGTTGTATTGAGTGTTTAAGGGCAATTTGTTGGAGGGGGGACCTGCCTCCCAGTTACTCTGTCCTGTAAAAGCCAGCTTAACAATTAGGGGGCACAATAAAGGCTAAGGAATATGAACTGGGGGAGGATCCACTATGAAACTTCAAAAAAGGAGCTTGTACCGAGTACGATCTCTTTCGCAGTGGTCCTTCCACCACCCCAGGACCCCGGAAAGGAGGACTTGGCAGCTGGAAGCTACCTTCGGGGTTCCTTGATTGTGTACCATTCTCCCTAACAAAGTGACTCTGGTACCTGCTTCCCCATCCGGGTCACTCAGAAATCCTGAAATTAAAGTCATGTGAATGAACATCATAGTTCACACTGGCAAGTTAAATGTCCCAAAGCAATGTGACTGACCCATCACAGGCTTCCCATCACCACCTTCTTCTTGGGATGACAGGGGGTAAATTGCTCCATTTATTAACTTTCTCTTTTAAAACCAAATCCATTTCTGGGCAGAAACTCATCTTTTGGTCTGTTTCAGGCAGGAGCTTCCCGTCCTCAGTCAGCGATGTGAGAGCCCCTTTCAAATCCAATCTGATTTCAGTAGTGAGGAGTACAGAGGCTTGACGGGGTCCCCATCCTCAGACAGATGATGATGTCGAGACCCAATGTGTAGTTTACCACCAATCAGTCCTGTAGTGGCATGGGAGCCACATACCCCCACAATCCTATTCTTTGGTACAGGTTTAAAAAAGGATATATATTGTGTCCTGCACTTTGGGTCAAGGGGGATTTGGTCTACAAATACTTTACATTCAAAGGCCTTTGGGGGAGGGAGTGGGGTTCAGTTAGCCTTGAGGTCTGACTCCACTCAGAGACAAGGATCCTGAGAAAGAGACCTGAGCCAAGGGGGTGGGGATGGGACACTCCTACTTGTCATTCAAACATACTTCTATATTCCCTGAACTTCCAAAGCAGGAAAAAAAAAAATTGTGCTTTTTCAAATAAAAGTTTATCCCTTTGCCTACTATACACTCTTGCAGACCTTCACTCTTGGGACGGGATCCCACCTTCTGAACAGTCCCTGATGTGGGGTGCCTCACTTCTCCATCACCCCCCCCCACTTCTGTGGCACCCCGTCCACATCTGAAAAGCCCCTCTCTGAGAACAAGGTTAACTTCTTTGCTTATACCTAAGTCTTTAGAAACAAAAACACAGAAACTTAACTGGAGAACACTTTCAACTGAGAGTCCTGAGCTAAATCTATTTCTTAGAGAGCAAACTGGGAAGAAAAGGTTCCCTGGGACGCCATGTGTCAAGTCCAGCTTTCCCCCAGGCAAAGATGGCTTTGAAACACACACACACACACACACACACACACACACACACACACACACACACACACACACACACACACCCTTCCTAAGCAGAAACAAAGACCAGACACCTAAAATATGAATGGTCTGCTTTTCTTGGCTAGCAAAGCCACAGCCATCCTAGGGATGAAGATGTCAGACATTGAGGTAACCCAAGAACAGAGGGAAGCTCTGCTGCAGCACTTAAAAAGAAAAAAAAGAAAGAAAAGAAAAAAATTTCCCCAAAAAGATCAAACCCAACAACCTAACCCCACATACACAGTATTCAAGAACACAAATACACTAGAATTATGAATTTTAAATCCTATCTTTCCAACATCTTATACTTTTCTTTTTTACTTAGTAGTTATTTTTGGGTTTCCTTGGCTCAATCCACAAAATGCACCCCACCATAATGCTTCCAGTGCCCTCAAGGTCGCAGGAGCGCTGGCCTGTGCATTCCATACCCTCAAGAGAAAAGGGAACATGAGCTCCGTGGAGGGGCAAAGAGGGCTGCTGGAGAAGGTATGAAAGACTTGAGGTAGATAGAAATTATCACTTCACAGGCTCAATCCCTGCACAAAGAGAATTACATTCATCTGTAAAAAAAAAAAAAAAAGCAAAAAACAAAACAAAAAAAAAGCTGAGGTAGGACTTATGCAATGTTGTACTCTTGTTCTCTTTTAAAAAATAAAAAAGGGGAGGAAAAAGAAAAAGAAATATCCCTGAGATGATTTCTTCTTTGAAATTCAGAAACGAGAGACGCACACATGCACACCCTAAACACAGAAACCCAGAAGATTCTATTAGAAGATGAGGATTCGATTGTTGCCGAAGTCCACCACGACGATCAATCCATCTGGGGTGACCGCAATACCTGAGGGGCGGTCCATCTGCCCAAAACCACTGCCCTGAGCACCAAACTTGCACAGGAAGCTGCCGTTGGCCTCAAACATCTGCACCCGGTGATTTCTGGAATCGGCCACAATGATTCGCCCTTCTTGGTCCACGGCTACACCCTGCGGTCGGAGAAACTGTCCATTGTTGCTGCCCTCTGAGCCCAAGAAGCGTGCTGACTGACAATCAGGGTGAATGACCAGAAGCCGGTGGTTGTTGAAATCGGTGACTACCAGGTGACCCTCGTGGTTAAAAGCCACACCCCGTGGAGAGTCAAAATGCTTCCAGAGAGACCCCTCAAAGCCATACTTATTCAGGAAGACCCCATCAGGCCCGAACAGCTGTATGCGGTGGTTTCGGGTGTCTGAAACCAGGATCTTGCCCTCAGAATTCACTGCTACATCCCAAGGGTAGTTAAACTGCCCATTCTTGGTTCCTTTCTCACCAAACTTGAGGAGGAACTGGCCCTCAAAGGTGAAGATCTGAATGCGATGATTGTCTTTGTCGGCCACTACGATCCTGCGGGAGGCATCGCAGGCCACCCCAGCTGGTCGGTCAAACTGCCCAGGCCGGGAACCTAGGGTACCAAATTTGTGGTGGAAGGAGCCGCAGGGCTTGAACACCTGGATGCGGTTATTGCTGCGGTCAGCCACGATGATGTAGCCCTCCTTATCCACACTAACGCCCCAGGGCCTGCAGAGCTTGCCTTCACTGTCCCCTTCGCTGCCGAAGCTCAGCCCGGGGAGCCCGATGCCCACGTAGCTGCGGCCTGATTTGACCACTACCTTGAAGGGGCTGTTCTCGATGTGCTGGTTGCACAGTGTCACCGACACCAGGTGCTCACCCTCGAGCTGGGGCCTGTAGCTCACCACGTAAGTCCCATTCTGCTGATCACTCACTTCTGCACCAAACAGGTTGCCATCGGGGCCCAGGACCACAGCTGACATCAGGTCGCCTCCGGAGAGGCGAGGCTCACCATCATGATCATAGCCCATCACGGTGAAGGAGGCCACTTTGCCCTGAAGGGCTCGCTTAATGCCATCTCCTGTGGCCTTTGTGAGCGGGGCAAACGCTCCGCTGCTGACAAAGCCGAAAGACTTGAGGGCCAGGTACAAGGCCTGGTCAGGGGGCGTGAACATAACTCGGTCATCTTCCTGCGGCTGCAGGAGGCTCCGGATGGCCTTGAGCTCTTGCACTTGGGCCAGCATCCGGTCTCGGGCCAGCAGGATGTCCAGGGCCCGGCCCTCCTCCAGGACCTGCTGGACGGCACTGACGGTGCTGTCTAGCTTGTTGAGGTTTTGACGAAGCTTCTCCACCTGCAGGTACAGAGATTTAGCCTTCACCTGCCTTATCTTCTCCACCTGGAGACGGGAGAAGAAACAGGGCAGACTCAGAACCAAGCACAGACAGAGTGTGGGCACAAAAGGCTAAAAACAATGTGGAAACAGATCTGAAATTTTATCTGACCAACAAAACAGAACTATTTCCTCCTTTCTCTTTCCTTTTGCATGCAATTCTCAACAGTTCCCTAGTTCTAAGCTAGTTGCCCTCCACCACCGAAGTAACTCATTTCACAGGTTTGCCTGGCCACCGAGACTTTTCAGTGCTTTCCAGGCTAAAAGCTATGAAAGGCCAATGCCAACTTTTCTGAGGTCTAGATTTAAAGAAAAATAAATGTTGTTTTAATGATGTGTGTCTGTGCATGTGAGTGCAGGTGCCCACAGAGGGCAGAGGAGCTGCATTCCCTGGGAGTCGCTGGTGGTGGATTCACTTTGGTCTCCTCCCCCCACCCCCTCCCGAGACAGGGTTTCTCTGTGTAGCTTTGCGCCTTTCCTGGAACTCACTCTGTAGACCAGGCTGGCCTAAGAACTCACAGAGATCTGCCTGCCCCTGCCTCCCGAGTGCTAGGATTAAAGGCGTGCACCACCACCGCCCGGCTTGGTGGATTCACTTTGTAAACCAGGATGGACTTTGAACTCCTCGACTGCTTTGTGCTCCTCTAGTGTGCAGGCACTGAAAGGCATGTGCTGCTATCACACATGGCTTGACTGCTCTTAACTGTCAATCTGATAAAACTAGGATTACTTGAGAAGCATCTCCATGGGATTGCCTAGATCACTATAGCCTAGCTTTATGGTGAGGGATCTTTCTGAACTGGATAAAGAGAAGGAAGACCCACCCTAAAAGCTAGCTGAGCACTACCACACACATGCATCTCTCCGCTTTGGAATGTGAGTGTCATGTGACTAGACACACTTCAAGTCATGCTGCTTTTACTTCCCCAAGACAACAGACTATATAACATAGAATAAACTCTTTTGACAGGGTATTTTATTGCACCAACAGAAATGAAATGAAAATAACAATAAACAAGCAAATGAAAGATGGATGAGATGGAGGTGTTTATCAAACAGCAAGTTTATTTAAGAACAGGGGTCTCTTTCCTTTCCGCTCCTTCCTTCAGTCTATCCCACCCCCCCCAATAAAGCTCTAAAAAGGTTAAAAAAATAATAACAGGGATTCTGCCAGGGATTTGGGGGGGGGGGAGACTTAGATGTTATCCCTACCATAGTAATGGGGCAAAACCAGACATCCAACAGAGGAGGTCTCTTAGAAGCCGGTTTTGCAGGGTTGAATACCAGCCCGTAGGTAGCCATAGGTAGCCTCAGCTGACCTTTCTTCTCCAGTGGGGGGTATACAATCCAACAGCTAAGGTGTTGATGAAGGTGGGCCAATGGGCATCTTCCCAGCCCACCAGTGTGCTCAAAGCTCTTCCCAGCCTTCAACAGGAAACACACACACCCCCGCCGCTCCATTCCTCCCCAAGTGGAGGCTTTCCACATGGGGCCAGACGTACAGCCAACCAAGACACCAACAATAAGGACTGTTTGCTGTCCGTGCCCTGTTAACAAGCGGAGTTTTGACTGTCTCCCTCTTGTCTGCCTCCTTTCCAGGGTAAGCAAGCAACAGACGACCTGAACCCCATCCTGCCTACAGAGCACTTCTGAAAGATCTGAAATGAGGCGAACGTTCTGCACAGGCCAGCTTGGGGGAGCTGGCCAGGGGGAGCCATGCACCCCACATTACCTTCCACAACAGCTCGCACTCGCGCTCCTCCAGGGCTTTCTTATGGCGGGCTGTCACAGCCTTGACCTCCGACTGGACCACCTTCGCCTTCATCTCCACCTGTTCTGCCACGGTCTGGGCCTGCTCGATGCTCAGCTGGAAAAGCAAACAGAACCTTTAGGTGCTAGAAGGGACCTCACTTCTCACCCGGGACGGAAGCCCACAGGGCTTATGCTTGGGCGATGCTGTTGGCGCCTGCTGGGTCTCTGTCCCAGAAGTGGCACCTGACAGAGCAACCAGAGTAGCTGGACCACAGCAGCTGGGTTTTGTGTTGAATACTGGGAATGAGCGTCGGATGCAACAGCTCTGGGCTCACTACAGACTTCAGATCTCTTGGACTTCCTCCCTGAACCTGAAGGAAATCTTGCGTGTCAGGGAGGTCCCTCATGTGTGTATGGGGGGTGGGGGGTGGCAGGTTAGTGGCTTCCCCACCACATTTGTATCTCCCCTAACCCAACAGGAACCAAAACAATGTGCACTCTGGGAGGATCACCTGGTCTAACCTAAAAATCATCAATCACGCCCTGCAGTCAGGGGCCCTTCATCTTGCATGACCAGCCCCAGTATATCAGCTGGCTAAATCGGACATATTGTTCATAAAAAATTAATCCAGGAGGCCTGGTGTGTTCGTTAATATTACATGAAGTGTCTCAAAAAAGCCGCAAGGATTGAGACACTAAGTAAGAAACTGAATCAGGGTTTTGACCTGACTGTCAGAGGAGCCATTTTAGAGCAGATGATCAACCAGGTGGGTAGAGAAAGCATAAGGTGCACAGCCAGACTGACGGGGAGGTGGCGGACGGACACCTGCTGGGGCAGAGGGGTCTCAGAACAAGAGATGGGAGGTGCTGCAACTGGTAGGTGTTCTTCAGCACCTCAGACCGGTGAGGTGGTTTATTAAGGTAACCCAGGTTCAAATCCCAGCTCCTATTAATTCTAAGCAGCCATTTACCAAAATCCTCTCCAACCCTGGTCGATGGCTGACATGAGAGAAACCCAAGACACAACATGCCGAGAACCAAGCCCCCGCTGTTACTCAGGGCTCAGCTCTCGGCTGATAAACGAGGTGTGTAAGAAACTGAAGTGTGTGGACCACGTTCTTTGTTGCCAATGACGCCCATTTACCTATTTACTTACAGATGTGGTGTATGCACAGGCACGCACCACGGTGCACACGTGGAGGTCTGAGGACAACCTGCCCAGGTCAGCCTCTGCTTCCACCACTGTGGGTCCCGGTGATGAAACTCAAGTCACTGGGCTTGGCAAAAAGCTCTTCCCATCCAGCCACCTCGCCTGCCTCCAACTCACATTTCTTCTTATTTTGTGTCTACCAATTGTGGCAAGATCCCCAGAACAGGAACTACCACTAGTGACATTCTGTGCCCCACCCCCACCCCCTCCGGACAACAGTCACTGCAACCTAGAATTCCCATCCTCTGAAACAAAGCTCTGCACGTAGTAGGCAGCACCCTGCAACCCCCTTTCCCACAGAAACCACTCATCTGCTGTCCCTGCAGATCTGCCCATGATCGCTGCTTCATCTACATGGACAACATCCAGCCTGCCTTATTCTGACAAACACTCTGTCATGTATGATGACTGGGACTCTTACA